TAATCTGCCACTTGCAGCTGAGAGTCCTGACTAATGTACCATGAACACATAAAGAGCACCTACTGTGAATGCCTACTGTGGCTAGACATTTCCAGAAGCACAAAGACAGGTTAGAAAGTGTCAGTCTTCAAGGGATTTGGAATCCAGTGAAGGAGGAGAAAGATTCTGACATAACTTTAAAACAAGTCAGAACACAGTCCCACAAGGGAGCTACCAGGATTCACTGGTTAACACAGAGGGGAAGAACGAATCAGCTGGAACACATCCGAAGAGTCCTCATGAAGATGGCAGCCATGATCGTGGCCCTCAGGAGTCTCGCCAGACACTGACAAGTGAAGGTGGAGAGGCGGCAGGGCAGACAGCATTAAGTTGCGTAAAGTCTGGGTCCCGGGGCTGAGAACAGAAGAATAGTCTCAAGGGGTTTCCGAATATCTGAAGATCCTCTCTGTAGGAAAAGAGTTAGGCTTGTTTAGAATTAGCCCAGAGGACCAGCAGGGACTGCTGAGCAGTGCTGGTGTTACAGGAGGCAGGTCTGACTGACCTCAGGTGAAGGCATGCTGCTGGAACTTTGGGGCAGATGTCCTCAGAGGGCAGGGCCGCGGGGTGGGCTTGGAAAGGGGGCTTCAGAACCAATAGGTTTGTAAATCAGCTGGCCCTGACCGCTCTGGGAAAGCCCTGCTAGACCCAGAAGTCCACCAGTGCCTGTCTGGGTGGAGTTCAGAGGCCAAGGCTACTAGGCACCGACTCGAGACGTGAGAAGGGAGGTAAGACTGACACTGGCATGCAGTCCTTCACCTGTGGCTGTGAATTTCCTTTAGAAGTGCACACTTTGGGAAATCTGAATATGGACTGGGTATCGGACGGTGCCCCCGAATTGTTTCCAATTTTGTTAGGTCAGATGATGACATTCATTGTAAATGTGAAATAATCCGTATTATTTGGAGATGTATACTAAGGAACACGAGGTGAAATGACACAGCAAAAAGGACATTTTTGGTTTTTCTTGTTTATGCTGAAGATGGAACCCAAGGTGTTGTTCATGCGAAGCACTGAGCTACACCCTAGCCCCTGTGTTTGGGTTTTTGATTGAAAATATTTCATCAAGAAAAGCAAGGAGAAATTTTATATGTTCATATATGCAATTGTGTGCCCTTGTATGTAACGTATATATGTGTGCATGGTACACACATGTCCATAACTAATTAGCAAATAGAATGCCAAACAAAAGAAGCCAGACACAAGATATATATTGTTCCATTGCCTTACAGGCAAAATAATTCTTTTGCCAAAACAGATTTATCATATTAGAAGTCAGAACGTGGTTGGCCTTGTAGCAGAAAGGGTGGGGCCAAGAGAGCGACCCGCTGTTTCTTACCTGGGCAAGGTGCACATGGGTGTGTTCACATGTGAAAACTCATCAGGATGTGCACATGACTTGTACACCTTATGCATGTTTTCCGCTTCAGTTCACCCCCAAAAGCTGCCCCCTGCACACACAGACACACACCATGAGACACAGAGATCAGAAGCCGCCAGCTTTCCTGCAGCGACAGTTTACTGAGAAGAGAGAAGCTGTGATCTGGGCTAGGTGTGACCCAAGAAAGTGTACAATGGCTGTGGCCTGAAAGTGAATACTCTGGCCTCAAGCTGATTACCCTGGTGCCAGGGTGGCTGACACAAGGGAATGGCGAGAGCCCAGCAGGGGGACAGAGGAAGAGGGGCTGTTGTCACTGTCCAGAAGAGAGGTAAGGAGGGACTGCAAGGCCATGGGACAGCAAGGCAAGAGTGCTTCAGGGGAAGCGTCTGTGTTCAGTGCCCGGCTCCAGTTCAGAAGGAAGGACCTGTGCAGACTCAGCGTGGCCCCTGGGACGGCCACAGAGTGAGGCTGGGGGCTGCCCGAATGCCTAGGGAGCGCCCTGAGAGTAGCTCACCCATCCTGGCACTGTGCTTCCACTGCCTGGGTCACGCGCCTTCGCCCTGCCGTGTGGGGCAGTTTGCAGACACACACAGCTTGGGGAGCCAGGGCTCTGTTATCTGCACCAAGGAGCATAGCATGCGATTTCCTGTTGGGGGCACGTGAGCACTCGAGAGGGGAGGGTTTGTTCCTGGAAAGAAGGAAGCAAGGGAGGAAGGATGGAAGGGACCCCACTGGTCTTCCTTTTGAAGTGGCTGTGGTGTTTCCATAAACAGCCCCAGGTTTGTAGACAAAAGACATTTATTTGAGTCCTGACAAAGTCACTTCATCTCTGTACACCGATTCACGTATGTGCAACGCGAGGCAAAGAATGTGCCCAGTTCAAAGCAGACAGAAAAGGCTTACACCAAAGAGGCCTGGGTTTGAATCTGACCTCTGCTGCCTGATAACCAAGGAGCTCTGGGCAGCTCCTGGGCCCTCTGAGAGTCACGTTCCTCCCTTGTGGTGTGGTGATGACAGTAACCCCAAGATCTCTGGTCTCTGCTGAGACAATGTGTGTGTTTTACTGTAATACACCTACTCTGTCCAGTTATTTACATGCTACCTTGTTCTCAGAGGATTTCTGCAGCTACAGGGAGGAGCCAGGAAATAGCCCATCTGGGAAGGGTCTGGCACATAGCTGAGGTTCACCGTGCTGCAGCCCTTCCTGCGCCTGTTTCAAGGGTTGTGGCGAGGCTCACAGGGGTATCCAGAGCTGACTCCCAGACTGGGAAACGCCATACACAAGAGTTAGAGAAAGTGGGAGCGAAAGGAAGGAAGCAGAGTCCAGAAGAGTGTCCACCCGCCTCACAGAGAAGGAAGGTGGGTTCTTGAGCTCCAAGAGTCTGTCCATCTGCCAGGCCCCTGTGCATGGTACAGCAGCACTCACATCTTCCCAGCCTTGGGACAGCCATGACTGTAAGGTTCCAGAAGGAATGTGATTCTCATTGGTGCAACATCCTCACAGCGTTATACATATGGGGAAACCGAGGCCCAGGGAGGGAAACAGGCTTGCTCAGGGGTAGAGGCTGAGCTGAGTCCAGGCTCCAGTTTCCTGATGCCAAGTGCAAGGCACCATTTCCATTCACCTTGGACCCAGGAGCCTGGTGTGTGTTCCACACTCTGGCCAGGGCATCCCAAAGCAGGTGCATGGAAGCCTCAGTTCCCAGGGCAAATTCTGGGAGCTTAAGGCAGGAAAGCTCAGCCCCCTCCCCTGAAGAGTATGTGGCAGCCCCACCCTGACTGACGTGCCTAGGGGCTTCTGAGCAGTGCCAAGAGCCAGTGAATGTCACACACAGCCAAGGGCAAACACAGAGCCTCTTTGTCGGGGCACCGATTACTGCACTGGGTTGGGCATTTATTTATTATCACATCTACTTCTTTTCATTAACAGAAGGCAAACATTCCCCACCCCAGGAACTGGAAGGCCACTGCCTGTACTAGAGAATGGGATGTCTCTCCAGGCTGACTTGGAAGAAGAGCCACCCTGCCTACATGGCCCCTTCATCAGGTCCGACTCAGGTGAAGGCAGGAGAGGCGCAGGTCAGTCCTGGGAAGGTCCACACCGTCCAGATCCAGTGTCTGTGACTAATGTTGGACCCTATGCTGTGGGGTCAGGAGTCAGACAGTTCTGGTCCTAGTCTTAGATTTTGTCCCTTGACTTTTAGCAAGACAGTCAACCTCAACCGGGTGTGGTGGCACATGCCTGTAATCCCAGAACTCTGAGTGAGGATGGCAAGTTCAAGACCAGCCCGGGCAATTTAGTGATTTAGTGAGACCCTATTCCAAAAAATTTAAAAAGTAAAAATAGGGCTTGGGAATGTAGCTCAATGGGAAGGCCTTGGATTCAGCCCTCAATACCACTTTAAAACAACAACAACAACAACTAAACCTCCAAAAGACCTGATGTCTTCACCTAGATGGTAAGGATTAGACAATCTGTGTGCGAAAGCACCCAGCCTGGCGCTTGAGACACGGGAACTCAACAACCAATGACAAAGTGAACCTCTAAAAAGTGAACCTCATTTCTGCACACAAAAGTATCAGGTAGCCCAGGCTGATCTGCGTTTGTGACCTCTTCTGGGGTCTTAAAGACATGAGAGGGGCATGGTAAGGCACAGCTGTAATCCCAGCACTTGAGAGGCTGAGGCAGGAGGATCGACACAAATTCAAGCCCAGATGGGGCTACGTAGAGTTCCAAGTCAGCCAGAACTACATGGCAAGACCCTGTCTCAAAAGAAAACAAAGACAAGAGAGGGGACAGCTCGAGTGTAATCTCACTCAGGGGCAGGGAGTGATAAACTTGGTGGCCCTTGCAGGTCACTCTATTCTACTGGCTCAGCTTTCATTTCAACATTTCTGTCTCTTGTTGGCACCAGGTTGGAGCCCCCAGCCCCACCCATGCCCGTGTGAGTCATTCCAGCCTCTCCCCTCTTTCTTCAGGACTCGCCCTTCTCTCTTCCCTCCTCAGTGGTGTCTTTCCCTTGGGAGGTCCAGGTATTCTTCCTGCTCCCATTTCATCAGATCCACCCTCTCTGAGCTCCCCACCCCCAGCAAAGGGAAGATTTAGTTCAGATTTTAAAAAAAAGCTTCCAGAAGACCCAGATTCATAGGCAGTGCGCCCAGGGAGGAAGGGCTGTGTGTCTGGTTCTCCAGGGGACTGGGCTAGGGAAATGATCCTTCCTTCCCTGGCTTCCTCCTGAAGGGCCCTGGTCTCTGTGTTTCCAAGCATGGGCCCCTAGAAGGAGGCCATCGCCCACAACCTCGCCCTAGCTGTCTGCGGTCTGGGAAAAGAGCTTCTAATTTCCAGAATCTTGAATCTCATCTTTGGAGGGATAGTTTGTTATCTCCAGCAAAACGCTTAGCAACAGTGCTGTGGATGGGAGCCTAACAAGATGACTTCAACTGTTTGATTCGACTAAAACAGACTGTGGACTTCCCAGTAGAGTAAGGGAATTTTACAGGGTAATAATAATAATAATAATAATAAACATAGTCTATAAAAGACCCCTATTTTTCAAATAAGTTTGGAAAATAATGGGCTTTTAAAGGTGTTTCCTTACTCAGGACTTCTCAGAGTCTTTAATATGCCATTGCAGACGTGAATCTCCGGGATATGTTACCCCAAAGCAGGCCATGAAACAGTGATTCAGCTGCCCTCTGGCATTACGGAGAGAAACTGAGGCACAAGACCTCAGAGACAGAGCCACTAGGGAGGCCAGGGTCTGCACTTACCCAACCAGCCCATCCTTTTTCTGATTTTTAAAAGTTGTAATTAGAGTGGGAATGGAGGGTGTATTTATTTACATGTATTTTATGTGTTCCAAAGGCCAGAACAAGGCCCAGTGAATAGCAGCTTCTTTTGAGCAGATTTTCAGTTCCACCCAGCTAAGAACTCTACAATAACCAGACGTGGATGGACCTGGATGTAGCCAGGTGGTGACGCAGTGAGCTTCCCATCACAGGAGGAGTCCAAACTGCGGCGAATGGACCACTGGGTGGTGCAGCAGACTGAACAGTGGTCTTCATAAAAGAGATGTTCAAGCCCACATCCCCAGAACCTGTGAATATGACCTTATTTTGAAAAGTCAGTTTTGCAGATGCAATGGAGGTAAAGCTCTTGAGATGAGGAGATCACCTTGGGCAGTCTGGGCAGACCTGGAGCTCAGTGTCAGTGTCCTCACTGACCGAGACAGCGGGAGGCCAAAGGCACAGAGAAAGCAGTGAGGCGATGAGAGCAGCTTCGGCCACAAGCCAGGTGCTCGAGAGGCAAGGACAGCCCCAGCCCCACTCCCAACCCCGTGGAGCAACCGAGGGAGCTGTGGCCTCGCTGACACCTTCACTTCAGACTTCTGCTCTCCAGAACTGTGATAGGATGCATTTCTGCTGCTTGGGACCTGAGGAAGCCATCCAGGAGGAAAATGCAGTGGGAAGGGAGGCCGTGCCGAGTGGTAGCGGGGTCCACCCGACCCTGGGCACACAGGATGCCCCTCCCGGTCGTGGGAAGCGGCACCAGGATTTCCCATCTGTCCCAGGGGGAAGCTGTGGATGTATCAGACCCACCTCAGGACAAGCAGGCAGCTGCAACTTCCATAACCTGCCATGGCTGCCAGCAAGGACATCCACTCTGGCCTCTTTCCAAGTCGGCCCCTCAAAGTGAAAGAATGTACAACCTGCTCCTGGACCCCAGAGGGGTGAGGCCACTTCAGTGGGTGATCAGCTGGCCCAGCAGGCAGGTGACACCGACACGGGGTGAGGAGATGGGCCAGGACAGCAGCTTCTGTGGAAGCCAACATTAGCCAGATGGTCAGCTCCCGCAGGGACTGAATTTGCTTGCTGTCTGGGTCTCCTGCCCCAGTGACAAAAAGCAGCCCAGCAGCACCCACCCACACCCACAGGCAGGGGACAGTTGCCAGGCATACCCCACCCCACGTACAGCCTGTTCCCTCACTGTGCTACACGTGTGCACTTTTACACGCAGCCAGGAGCTCTGTCGCAACAGCCTCTGCCCAGAGACGAGCGCTAACATGCCCGTCTGCCCATCTTTTCTTGCCTTTAGTCCCTGGAAAATCAGACCAAACCCAAGTTTCAGGTCAAAAGAGGATCAATTACCAGGTGAAGGAGGAGGTGGTGGTATGAACGCCTCAGACACAGTTTGGGGAGACCTGGGGACGGCAGAGAGAGAAGGGTGAAGCCAGGGCCCCCCTCAAAGCTCCAGATGTTAGTAAAGCAAATCTCACTGTTCTGTCCCCACAGCCAGGAGCACAGCTGACTGTGCAAATCTGCTTTCCTCCTAAGGGAGCAGGTACACTCTGCCCCCACCAGGGGAGCTGGGCTGGGTGGGAGCCCCAAGCTGGGCACCCTTGTGTGTGTAGTTGGACTGGTTACCCAGAGTCCTCTGCGACCTCCCAGCCTCCCTTGGGGTGGGGAGGCTCCCCATCAGTCATGCAGGACCCACACAAAGCCCCCCAGAGACCCGGGGGCCTCCTTTCAGAGGTGGCATCTCTCTTCCCAGTCTCCAAATTTTCACAAACCCCAACATCCATCCCCAAACACGAGTCTGGAGGGGCAGGGACCAGGGCATTCTCCTGTTTCTATGTCAGAAATGTTTTGTAAAGCAGCCCTTAGCTGGGGAGAGTTTGCTTGTGGGGTTGTTTTGCTCAGCTGGGGCAGGGCTGGGCTGAAGCCCCCCTGTCCTCAGCTGCCTTCCCCCCTCCCTTCACCACCCTAATTTCAGGCTCAACTGTGCGCGCTTAGGGCTTAATTAAACTCTTGTCTTGCTTTCAGAAGAGACACTTTCCGCCCCGGGGAGTTGCTACCTTGCTTTGTGGGGAGAGCAGGTCTGAGCAGGCTCTTCCTGGTGAGGATCTGTGCTGTGGGAGAGAAAGAACAAGCCTGCTGCCTCCTGGAAGCCGCCAGCAGCTGCGGAGGG